ATTTAAAAATATGCCCCATTTGTTGTTTACGAGAAATGGTTGCGATTTTATATTAAAAAGTTTGGTACAATTTCTAATCAAAATTTATGAATTAGTATAATTTAAGGTTGCCGTTTTTATATTTGATCACTTTTTTACTTTGAATTTTTAAGTTTATTTTTTTTACTTTAACCCTTTATATTTCAAGTTTTTTTTTCACTTTACTCATAAAGTTAACTTCGACTTTTGAGGGCTCACTATATATATCCAAAAGTTGTACCCTTAATCATTTATCCTTTACAGAGGCAGCATCCTCGAGGCAATTTCATTAATTGTGAAAACCTGAATCGCCCAGCGCCGACTGGATAGACCCGCCGGTGCCTGAATGATCATGCACCGTCTGGGACAAGGGCAGATTTATCAATACATTCGGCTTAAGTGCCCCAGCCGGCCCATGAATCGACAACAAAACTAAGTTCGCCTCCTCCGGCGCCCGAATGATCATGCATCGCCTGGGGCAAGAGCGTGATAGATTAATCAATCTATTCGGCTTAGGTGCCCCAAGCGGCTCATGAATCGACTTCAGAATGATCATGCACCGCCTAGGGCAAGGGCGTGATAGATTAATCAATCTATTCGGCTTAGGTGCCCCAGCTGGCTCACGAATCGACTTCAGAATAATCATGCGCCGCCTGGGGCAAGGGCGTGATAGATTTATCAATACATTCGGCTTAAGTGGCCCAGCTGGCCCATGAATCGACAACAAAACTAAGTTCGCCTCCTCCGGCGCCCGAATGATCATGCACCGCCTGGGGCAAGGGCAGAATAATCAATCTATTCGGATTAAATGCCCCAGTCGGCCCATAAATCGTTTCAGCATAATACCAACGAACTATTCAGCATATGAATGATAAGATTGCCAGGATATTCAATCATAGAAAGGTCAACAGAGTAGTCATTATAACTAAAGTAGTGAAAGGCAAACATTCCTCACCAACATAACATCACAAACTGCGCATTTGTAGTGAAACAAGAAGATAATTTTCATTAATAAATTGAGCGCAGACAGTAGCCAATTTATACATAAAAACTACTCGGAACCAACAAAAGTCCTAAAAACAAAAACATACATTAAAAAGGAAAGTATTTCATAAAATTCGAAAGACTCCCAGATCAATCCTCGAGGTCAGACTCAAGTGGCTCAACGTCCACCTGCTCATAAGGAATTGGCAAGGCCAATGTAACCCCAGCGGCATCAAGGGCCTTGAGCCACCCGTGTTTGAACCCCCGATTCTCGAACTTGGAGACTTCATCTACGTATTCTTTGAAGGCAGTGCCTTTTCCTACTTCGAATGCGGCAGAAGCCTCAGATTCTGCCTTTTCCTTGGCCGCCTTTAACTCTGCTAACTCAGTCTCCATCATGTTAAGCGCCTCATCGGCTAGCCTAAGCGATTCTTTGCTCACGTTTGCCCTATCTTCGGCATCAGAACGGTGCTAATCGGCAGCCCGAGCCCTTTCCACTTCGGCTTCGGCTCGCGCAGTCTCCATAGCGGCACTCATCATCTCAAACTCGGCCCTGCTCTTTTGATCGACCACTTCTGACTTCAAACGGTCAATCCTCTCAAGGGCATCGTGTAGGCGGCGGCCCAAGTCGGCGATCCTGCCAACCGTCTGCAAAACGAGTTGGGATCGTTAGATGCCATAGGCAACCAAAATCAAAACAAGTCAAAGTTCACCTACCAAAAGGGCCGATTGCGCAAATAGGGCTATGGCCACCAAATTCGGCACAGCATGAATGGATGCCTTATCAGCTGGTAGAGAGACTGACGCCACCAGGCTCAAGGCTACCACTGGGTCGGTAATGATGGATGCGTCAGAAGGAATCGGCGTGTCTCTAATCTTTGGCTGAACAATAAAAGGAACAACCACGTCCGATTCTTCTAAGCGAGGCCTTTTGTCGGCAAGACTTCTTCTGAACCGGCTCTTCCCTCGGCGCTACCTTTTGTCCCGCTTTTTCGGAATCAACCGTTCATCAATGACCGGTTGTTCAACCTCTTTCGTCGTTTCGGCCGCAACAATCTTAGCGGCTCTTCAATAAGGGTTCGGAAGACTCAACCAAGGCAGGTCCAGAACGGGCGGCCTCGGCCTTTTTCCGGGCAGCCATACGCTCGGCATTTTTCTTTCGAGCCATCTGCGTGAGGCTTTCCCCAGCCATACCTTCAAAAAAATGCGCCGGGTAAGTCTCCCAAACCTCCAAAAATATCTCCAAAAAAAACTCTGCTCGACCCGAAGTGGACGGCAAGGTAGGCTGACTACGTCTGGTTGCCTCAAACGCAGGAGTTTAGGGCCTCGTCAACCTCTTCGTCCTCCTCAGCGAACTCTCTGTCTGTTCGGCGACTACCTCTACCACTGGCTCGACGTCTTGCCCGAGTCAGAGGCTTCGAGACCAACTTGTCTAAGACTCTTGAAGCTAGGAAAGATAAGAGCCGCAAGCTGTCGATCGCCGGATGGACTGGAATATTGTAGCGCCCGAAAAAATAGTGTAAGTAGGCTCGTATCGAAGAAGTATGTGGGCCGCTCTCCCTTGCTTCCGTAAGTTTGGACGGTAAGTATCCGAGTGCAGTCGCAACTTGTGCAAGGACCGGCGTCGTCGGTAGAATCCAGAATCTTCTTCAAATTACTGCCTACAAAGGCAAAGGGTTAGACACCAGGGGAAAGCCGAGTAAAAGAAAAGTTCAGTAAATACACAGGAGACACACGGTAACCTGGTTCACCCCTCCGTCTGGGAATAGGGTCTAGGCGATCCTCGCCTTCGCCAAATTCCCAGTTCCCTCGGATATTGACCATTACGTCATCCACACGCTTGCCAGAACTGGCGAGCATGGTTACCAAATGATGGTCAGTATCCTTGGCCCTAAGAAAGTACCGCCCAAGCCGACCGGAAGATTTGGCTAAAGCATAGCAGTGCCGAATGGTCGGAATCCCAAGATCGATCTTGAGGCACCGGTTCAACTCTACGATCCCCATTATGATTCGAAAAAAGTTCACGTTGGGCTAAGAAGGAATCAGACCCCAATAGCGGAGGACGGCCCTAAGGAATGGATGTAGGGGAAAATGGACCCCACCCTCTCCAATGGATAGGAGAGGAAAGACGATTGAATTTTGATCCTCTCTCTCTATATCCAGAGTGTTGTCCGTCACTAGAGATAGATGAACATCGTCGGGGATGGAAAAGTGTCGCCGGAATCCGGAGACACGACCCTCAGAAGGGAGGTCTTTCAAGTGTTTGGCCATTTTCACGGGGGATAAAGGGTTCACCAAAATGAAAATAATAAACAAAAAGTAAGATTGCAAAGAAAAGAGAAGAAGACTTACGAGGAGCAAGGGAGACGAGGGTAGATGGAGAAGAGTTGCAGAGAATACGAGTCAGAGAAGGGATATCTGCTAGTGGTCCAAGAGTCTTGAATACTCGACGAACTGTGCATTCGAAAGGACTTAAATTTCAAATCACAATAAATGCGAGACGCACGATTGAGGCGGGAAAGCGTAATGATGAACGAAAATGTGTACGCATCCTGACATCTATATTGGGGTACGCGAAGCCGCCGGACCTATTTTAACCTTTCCAATTCAAGACCAAACACGCCGATTAACTTCCGTCAATGGGGAGTTTGAGGGGCTTTTGTGGGGTCCGAATACATGGAAAAATCAGATGGTGCGTACCATTGGAAGACTGATATTAACCGGCTATATCCTACGAGAGTGGGGAGCCGAATATAATATATGTGCCGAATAAGTGTAAGTCCTTAGGGCCGAATAAAAGAAAGGACAATGATTAAAAAGTGGACCCTCGCCCTGAGGATCAAAAAGAACAAGTATAAATACAGGAACAACGGTTGTAGAAAGGTATGTAAGAATCATTTCACTAAATTTGGGAAACAAGCTTCCTGAGTGTCTGAACTAACTTGTCCATCGGAGTGCTAATTCCGGCACTCCCGACCGGAGTGTTTGTATCTTTTCAGGTGACTAGCTGAGGATCACTAGCGTCTCCCAAGATCCGAAGAGTATTTCCAAACCACTTCTCCACAATATCAAAATTAAAAAATTATTTTCAAACATATTTAACGAAAAAAAGTTAAGAAGTCACTTCCCAAACAAGGTAAAAGTGAGAGAGATTCTCTTTATACCTTCATCTCTCCATACTACTCTTATGAAATTAAGTCTGGTTTTGAATGTTCTAAATAAGTGTAATTTTTTACTTTTTATAAAAAGACGTATAGAAAATTAGAGAAATGTTAATTGACGACACCCAAATAACTCCACTTATGCAAAAAAGTGCACTTATATAGTTTAACCAAAACAAGGTTTTAATTTCAACCCATATCAATGATTCGAACCATTTACTTCGTATGTCTCATAATGAAGGTCATTTATGTAAAAAATTAATTTTGTCAGACATTTATAAATACGTGAACAAATAACATTTTATTTTATAAAATGAAAAACAAATATAATTTGTTTCCGTGTTTATAGTTGTCTGTTTATAAAATAAAATGTTATTTGTTTTTGTGTTTATAGTTCTCTGATAAAATTAATTTTTTACATAAATAAATTTTATTGTGAGGCATACAAAATAGACATTCGACTCACAAGAACCAAAAAAAAAAAAGTATGGATAAATTACAAATACACCCCCTGAGATTTGCTTAAAATACGAATTGTCCCCTATGGTTTGAAAAATTATAAATACCTCTCTGTCAGAATTTTTATTTAACAAAATTAATAGAAAAAGTGAAATTTCTAACTATTTACCTATACAATAATAAAATTATTTAAATTATTAATTGAAATAAAATTCTATAAAATTTATTCCGAAAGTAAGAATGAGGCCGGGCGGGATGGAGCCAAGTTGAAAATCGGACTCAGCATTGAAGAGGCCGGCTACGACCCACGAGGAAAATGAGGCAGGCAAGTGGGACTGATGATGACTCGGATGATCTCTGTAGCAAAATCATTTATAAAAGATTGGAGATTGGAGATTGGAGATTGCAGAGATCATTTATAAAAGATCTGAGTCTCATCGAACCAACCACTCCCATTCCCAACCAACCAACCAACCAAAGTCAACCTAAGTGTTTGATTTGAATTTGGGTAAGATGAGTAATTCAGTGTGCTCTGTTTTGGTCTTGTTTTCACTGATCTTTGTCTCAGCTCAAGCTAGTAGATCACTCCTTACAAAGCCCCAACCTCTTCCATCCTTCAGAATCATCAACACCACCACTACTCATCCTCTTCTTGCGTTCTCCAAGGTCAATTCTACTACCATCACTGCTACTTCCCAGCCTCTTCCACCCTTGAAGACCAAAACTGCCACTTCCCAGGTATGATAAATTCAACCCCCAAATAAACTATACTCTTTCTAGAGAAAGATTGTGGAAATTTTTTCACGAAAATCGCTCGAAGGACTGTTTTTGTGCAACTTATATCAGCTGTTTATAATTTTATTATTTTTATTTTAAGAGTTTGTATCTGATCATGTGATGTAATTTTTGTTTATAACTTAATTAAGTATAAATAATTAAAATTAATTAAAAAAATTAATTATTTAGAAGTTCGGGAGAGAGATTTTTAATTTATGTTTTCGTATTTGTGTGTGTGTTTGTGTTTTACATGTCAGTTTATAGAAGTTACCCAAAACAAGTCTAATGTTTTGTGAATTTTTTCATACTGTTTTCATTTGTAGTGGCCATATAAGAGTGTCTTTAATTTTTTATCAAATTTAAATTTAATAAAGGTAATTTTTAATTATTTTATTAACCTTGTATCAAATCAAGTTTTTATCACAATTTCCGTTAAATCTTTTTGATGAAAGAAGCTTTTGGGGTTAAGTTTGAAATTTTTTAAAAAGATTTGATGAACTTTAAGTAAGCTAAGATTAGAATATTCAAATTTTTTTTTTTATCAAATCAAAATTTTAGTTAAATGTGATAAAGCCCCTCTTTGGTAGGGTTTATTTTCAGTTTATTTCAGCTTTTAGCTTAATTTAAGTTATTTTAATGTGTTTGTTTCAGTTTAATAATACAACTTATAGCTTTTTGTAAGTTAAAAATCAACTTATTTTTTGAGTTAGGAGGAGAAACTTAATTTATAAGTTAAAAATCAGCTTATGTTCACAGTTATAAGGTATAAGTTGTTAGGTTATAACCAAACGAGATCAAAGAACTGTTGGCGGCATCATATGAACTTTTTTTAATGAATTTTTTATTCAAATTTAACGAGGAAAAAATTAAAAAATTGAAGATGCTCTGCAGCTCTTGCCCATTTGACAGACTAACCAAGATTGTGCAATTTCTAGAAGACTAGTTATGGCCTGTTTGTGTAAATTATTGGATATTAAAAATTAGGGTAAATTACATTTACCTCCCCTGAAGTTTCTGACAAATACAGGGACCACCCCTGTGGTTTGAATAATTACAATAACCTCCCCTACTTTACCTGACAATATCAAGATTCCCCCAAGCCATCAATTTTGTACAAACGACGTTACTTACCTATACAGAATGACCATATTACCCTTTAAATTAAGTGTGAAAAGACGAAAAAACCCTACAAAATATCCCTTTTTACTTTTTGAAACCAGAGTCACCACCCATTAACTTATGTTTCTTTATTCTCTCACTTTCTTCTCTCTCTCATTCTCTCCCAACCCAACCCAACAGTGCCTATTTTCTTGGTATCTCCGATTCCAACAAGGAGACCATTGACGACGAGATCTTCCTTCTCTATTTTCCTAACAATGAAATCAAACCCTACTCTCTCTCTCTCTCTCTCTCTCTCCTTTCCTCCCAACCCAACAGTGCCTCTTCTCTCTCTTAACTCCCTTTTCAATCCTATCACAACCACCATTCTCCTCCACTACTACTACCTCCCTCGCCACTATCCACCACCGGCAAAAGCGGCGGCGACGAGTGGAACAAAGCTTGAGAGTCCGTCTGGCTCCCCGAAGACCTCTCCAGCAACAACTGACTCCTATGGGAGACTGACATCAACTTCTCCGACGATGACAACCCTTCCGCCGCCACTCCTCTCCTCCAACATCGACGCCGAAACGAAGGTCTTCGTCGAGGACACACCACCGCCTCCCTCTATTTCTCCCTCTGCCAACAAGTCTTCCTCAACTCCCTCTCCTCTGCCGTCCATCGCTTACTTTTCTTCTCCTCCTCCTCTTCTTCTTCTAAAATCCTAACCCTAGATCTATAGTTTTTAGAGAGATGGTAGGCAGTGATGGCAGCAATGTTGGGTTGCAATCTGGGTTTATGGCGGTTGGTTACAATCTAGGTCGCGATCGGGAGAAGAATGAGAGGAAGAGAAAGAAGATGAGGAGAGAAGGAAGACGAACGGCTAGAGAAAGAAAGTGGGAGAAAGAGAGGAGAAGGCTGGAAGGGGTGGTGGATTCAAAGAGATCCAATTGTTGCACTATAATCCAGTACCTTATTTTCTTTGGCTGATAATGGCTATGGTTTGATTTTGATCTCTATTGTGTTTGATTTTGCACTGATTTTTTTGGGGAGGTGGTGTTGATGGTGTCTATCCAACTTCTCAACTGAGTAATTGTGGATTAAGGCTTTTTTGGGGGTTGCAGAACTAGTAAAGCTGGGTTTGTGGGGCTTTTGAACTGGGTTTGTGGGGCTTTTGTTCCTCTATGTCTTCTTCATCTTGTATGATCTCGTTTACGGAAGAGAGGGTTTGGATTGGGTTTTGTGGAAAATTCTTTAATTGGCATTTTAGTGCATTATGGGCATTATGGGTATTTTAGTGCTTACATTAGATGACATCAGCAAGGTCTGTTAGGTATATAAACGGCTGTCAAAATTTGGGGGAATCTTGATATTGTTAGGTAAAGTAGGGGAGGTTATTGTAATTATTCAAACCACAGGGGTGGTCCCTGTATTTGTCAGAAACCTCAGGGGAGGTAAATGTAATTTACCCTAAAAATTAATATTCTCTCATCTACAAAAAAAAAATGATAATCAAAAACTAAAAAGCATCTCTTCTTTAACTTCTAGATAATCAATTTTTTTAGTTTATTTAAATTATTTCTGTCTACTAGTCTATAACTTGTAGACTCTCAAATTAAAATAAGTTAAAATTACAACTTTTATGTTGTAAGAGACCCATTAAAGCTATATTTAGATTATGAATTTGAAAAATGAAAGAAAAGATGTGTATAAAATATGAGTAAAATATTTCATTTATATTTCACTTAATTTTCAGTTTCTCTTTTCAAATTGTTACCGAAATCTATTAACCGAAACACAGCTTAACTAAAAGCATATATATGTGTGTGTTGTTTGTGTAAAAGCTCTGTTTAATTTTCTCTGTTTTTGGGAACACTTGTAAATTTGCAGAAAGAGAATGGAGCGTGTTATTACACGGTGAGGTTTACAACAAGCTGCTCTTCACCCAGTTACACCAGGGACCAAATCAGTCTCGACTTTGGCGATGCCTATGGCAATGAGGTTCCTACTCCTCCTCCACATAACTCCATTTTACATACATATCTGAAAATAGAATATATTAAAAGATTTATTTTAAATTTGGCTCATTTTTTTAATAAATTTCAATTTATGTCATATACTTTAAATTTTTATATTATGGGATATTAGATGCTTTATATATATACCATGAGATTATGTGATAAAATTTGAATGCTTTTTTTTTTTCACCATTAGATAGAGTATTAAAAATAATAAGGAGAAATTACTTATCTCATTGGAGGTGGGATAGGATAATCCCACGTATGTAGCCCAATCTCATATGCTTTTAGAACAACTCTAATATTAATAGATATTTTGCCTAACTAAAGTATATTAAAAAAAAATTAAAAAAAGAACATTATGTAATTTGCCTGACTGCTTTAATTAGGGCTCTTTTTTTTTCTTTTTTTTTATTACTGATTTTTTAACTACAAAAAGACATGTAAAAACTATCACGAATGAGTCGACAACTCAATAATTTTTTTGCTAAAAACCTCTTACCAAGAGAAATTTTATGGTAGAGTGTGTACTATATACATCTTTGGTTACGATTTTTTTGTCTTTGATTATGATCTACTGTGTTATTAATTATGACAGATTGTAATATTGGTTATGATATTATTTTAATTATAATCTAAAAGTTGTTTGGTTATGTCTGTAATATTTGATTATAATTCAATTTTTTTTTAATTTTTTTCTAGTTATGACTCTTATAGTATTGAGTTATGTTATTTGTGATAATCAAACTCACAAATAACATAACTTACATATAGTACACACCCCATAACATCACCCCTTTCCAAACATAGTCTTAGGGTTGGTTTGGGGTGTACTAAAAAAGTGCACTTTTTGTCTTTTTACGAAAAGATGTGCAGAAAAGTAGAGAGGTGATGTGATGGAAAAAAGATAAAAAGATAAAAAGATGGATTATATAGTAGATGACAAACAAGGCCTTAGTATATATATATTCTAATAATGGTCTTTTAAAATCCGTTTGTCTTGTTTCTAAGACTTTCTAAGCATAACTAGTCAAAGAGGATAAGAGATAAAATACATATAGCCTCTGTTTGGCAGGTTAGTTTTCAGGTTTTTTTTGACTATTTTAGCCACAAAAAACAAAATAGGCTATTTTAGCCATAACAAACAAAACATCACATCCAACCCATAATCATTACATTCTTCTCTCACAAAAAAAGTCAAAAAAGCCAAAAAGCTAAAAAGTCCTTCCCAAACCAAGCTTTTTAGCCCAGGCTAAAATAGCCAAAAAAGCCAAAAAACCAAAAAACCAACCCACTTCCCAAACCAAGCCATAATACTTTTTATTTTGCTGGAGCTTCATTTTGTGACGTGAATAGGTAAAATACTCTAAATATCTCACCTTACTATGAATATTTTTATCCCTTCAAATAAACGAGTTGATTATTTTATCCGTTTGAGAAGTGGGTTGATTTTTTGACTTTTTGACTTTTTGGCTTTTTGACTATTTTAACCTGGGCTAAAAAGCGGAAAGAACTTTTTGACTTTTTAGCTTTTTGACTTTTTTTATGAGAGAGGAGTGTAATGATTATGGGTTGGATTTGATGTTTTGTTTTTTGTAGCTGAAATAGCCTATTTTATTTTTTGTGACTATTTTAGCCCCTAATCCACCAAAACCAACTTCCCAAACTATGATCACCTTACTATGAATATTTTTATCTCTTCAAAGAAACGAGTTGATTATAAATTATGTATATATGTTTTAAAATTGTATATATATATTTTAAATTTATTTTGGCAATTAGAAAAAAAAAAACTAATTTATTGACTTATTTAGATCACATTACTTCTCTATTTTTTTTTCTTTTGTATATTCTTTCAAAAAAAAGTCAATAAGCTAACTTTTTTTTCCTAATTCCTAAAACAAACTTGTGTACCATTAGCTAACTTAGAGGTGTATGGAAGGATTAAAATAAATATATTTTTTTAATTTTTACGAAAAGATATAAAAAAATATAAAAAAGTGATATAATTTTTTTAAAAAATACACTTTTATAAGTGACACTAAATAATACCTTAGGTAGTAAGAATATAAAAGTTTCAATCGCATGAATAGTCTTATTTAATTCTAAATATATTTTTGAACCATCACCTGACTGACTTAGCTAGTAAGCTAGCAAAAGTTTCAATAGCATGACGAGTCTTTGCAATCAAACGTTGCTTTCATATGAATGATAGGGAAAAGGAAAATGTTAGCCATCACAAAAAAAATGTTTTATGAAAATGATCGTAAGAGAATTTATATTACACATTGTAATTTATTATATATGTAATTTAAGAGTTAAAAATCATTTATGATTATTTTTATGAAAATCATTACTCTAGAGAAAATATCTAATCATAACTTTTTGGAAAAATTATAGAAAAAGAATTTTACTCTTACAATAAAATGGATTCTAATTTTATAAATTAAATGTATTTAAGATTAATTTATTAAGTAAATAAATTAAACTTAAATACATTGTGAAATTTATTAAATTTTCAAGTTAAGTTTGAATAATTTATTATAAGTGAGTGTCCATTTGGTGACTTGCTTTTTTAATATTTTTGACTTTTTTATTTCCTAAAAGAAAGGCAAAAAGCCAAAATTATTAAAAAAGAAAGTCACCAAATGGAACACTCAATTATATGACTATAAAAACTAAACTACTCTAGTTTGTTTCATAATTAAATTGATTAACGTTCGTTTGAGATCAATTCGAAAGATAAATTAATTAAATATAAACATATTTTTAAATTTTAAAATCAAATTGAAAAACCTACTACTCACAATTCATTTATTACCATACTTTCCCCTCTCTTTAGGTATAACCCTTATATGATGATCATACCTAGTACTAAAAATAAAAACAAAATGATTAAAGAATTTTGTTAACGAGCATTTTAATTAATTAATAAAGTTTTAAATAATTATATATTCCTAACTACACATACTTAAAATAAATTTTTTAAACTATCTATTCACAACTTCCTTAAACAAATAAGATCAATTCACATGAAAAATTGCTGATGGAAAGTTTTTAGTCATATAATAATTTTATTTGTTTTAATTTACTAATTTAATTTGGATAAATATGATTAGGTGTATGTACCTCGGATAGACGATCCATCCTCAGGGACATTCGAGGCCTGTTCTGTTGACACGTTCGACATATACGGACCCTGTATGTACGACACGTGTTATTTATACGTGTACAGGAGTGGATACGACGGTTGGAAACTCAACACTGTGGAGGTCTACGGTTACAATTCTGTTACCTTTTACTACAACACTTTTATTCCCAGAGATGTGTGGTATGGATTTGATTACTGCAATGGTCTTTCTGCCTCCACCTGATCAACGGTCAAGATCAATCTGGGACCCACCCACGTGCTTTGTGTTTAATTTTGTTGAATGTCTTTGATGTGATGATGAATTTGGGAGAGTTATTATCCTCTGTTGTAGAACCCATATTACTATTCTACTCTACCCAAATAATAATTAATTAGTTACATTTATAAATAAATGGGCTGCCTGTTGTGATTTTAAGGGTAATTAAACAGTGCTCCTTAAAGTTTTTGATAATTAGAGAGACTTCTTCTATATTTATATGAATATATATATTATAATTTATAAATAATATTATATCAACTAGCAAATTTTATAATCTTTTTAATTCACTTATGCTGTGTTTGGTTGAGGAATTTGATGAGGGATTTGAAAAGGGAAGGGGAAAAGTTAGGTGAAATGTGAATAAAATATACATACATTTCACATAATTTCACACACCTTTTCTCTTTTCCTTTCCAAATTCCTCCTCAAATCCTCTAATCAAACACAGCATTAAGTTATTATTATATTATGCAAATGTGTTATGTTTTAAATTTCAAAATTTTATCCTGTATGACGCATTTGTTATTGCGAAGTTTGTTCTTTTTTTTATTATATATTAATCTATCATATTATATAATAAAATTCAATAAATTAAAATTAGGAATTTTTTTAAAAATCCCTACTAATATTACTATTAAGGACAAACAATTTTCTAGTATTAATTCAGTTCCTCCAACAAACACGGTTAATCATTTTGGACAAAAATGGCCTTCAACAGTTAGTTAAATTTTACATTGTTTAAGTTATTTTAAAACTTTAAAATTTAATAACTTTTGATTTAAATCTTTATTTTTTGTAAAAATTTATATTTTTAGAACCTTATTGACAAAATCTTTCAAATAAGATCTATGAGTAATATGAAGTTCTGAAGAAAAAAAAAAATTCATAAAATTGTATTGTGTTTATTGTTACATCATAATGATACTTCTCTAATTTCGTACAGAGTAAGGGAAATTGTGATGTGCAAAATCAGTAAAATATATTTTTTTACACTATAAAATTTAAAATTGATTACTGATTGCAGAAATGAAGTCCTTAATTCTAAATTTATTACTAAGAAGTTCAAATTGAAATTTCCAAACTATCAAATTTTAAAATTTTCTATGTTAAATCAGTAAAATTTTACTATATATATATAGTGAATTTCTTTGAATCAGCATGGTGAAACTGTTAGATAATGTCTCAATGGGACCACATAATTAAATGTGGTGTTATCATTTATAAGAAGCCTACAATTTAAGTGATTCAATTTAGTTAATAGGCTTAAGGGAATTATACGTGTTATGGACCTAATGTGTAGATACTAGTTGTATAATTTCTATTTCTATGAGGGGCAGAAATAAAAATAAAAACATATTGGTTAAAGTTGGTTTTCATTACCTTTCAGTTTTAAAACCAATAATGATTAATTTATTGGTTTTCATTACCTTTCAGTTTTAAACCAATAATGGTTAATTTATTGGTTTTCATTACCTTTCAGTTATGAAACCAATTACAACCTTTAAAAGGTTATGGTCCCTATTCCTTCCTAAGGTGAAAAGATAAGAACACTGTTTTGTTTTTCTAAATCCTCTCAAGGAGAAACATAAGGCAGCAAAGGGGAAAGGATTAGAAGGCTCTAAACAAAGTCAATATTAAGATTTTATTGACAATCAGACGCTCCGTTTAACCATTCATCAATGGATTCAGGTATGTCATTTTGTCTTGATTTTGATAATACACATGGTAAATGATCCAAAGTGTAAGGTTTATGTTCTGAAATTTATGTTTACAAGTGGTATCAGAGCGGTTATATCATGTGTATTATCAGAATAGATATGCTTTTCTTCATCCTATTAGTTTCCTGGAATCAGATTCTGTTTTTTGTATTTCTGTTTTTTCCTCTGCTGCAAATTCTGTTTTGTTTTCTGAAAATGGAACATCATTCGGATGGGCGGTTCATTTTTCAAATGGATGAACATCATGTATTTATATATATAGATATATCTTGCGATTTGATCGGTTTAATTTTGAACATCATAAAAAAAAACTATTTGTTTTTTGGACCCGTCAATTCTATTTATATATGTGTGTATATATATATATATAATTGGAATTGCTTCAGATTATATAACATATACGGGGTCACAAATTTAGAAATCTTTAAATTTAATGTAATTTCATACAAACGTCTACAGAAATTTAATTTTCTAAACATTCTC